TGAGCAGAGGGTTTCCCAGCCCATGGCATGGGTATGAAGTATGCAGCTTCAGTCACTGGCCATGTATCAGCATGACTGCTGTGCCCTGGGGACAGGGACAGCCGTGGCCACAGGGCATCCTTGCCCACACCGATGGCATGGTGTCTTCTGCCCCAGGACATCCAAAGAGCATCTCTCACCAAGCTGGCAGCTGTGGGCTCAGGATACAGCCTTGTGGTTATGGGTGCAACCAATATCCTGACACAGGTGTCCTGCCCAGTTGCTCACAGACTGAAATAAATTGAACAGAAACCCAAAGGACTCTGCAAAATGCTGTAGTGAAAGGTCTGGGAGGAAGCTGGAGGCACACAGGCCGTATGGTTTTGTGGGCAGGGATGGATGTCCAGAGGGGCAGCTGGCAGGGGGTACCTGCTTTATGCTTCCCAGGCAGAGCTGTGCTGAATAACCATCTTCTCTCCGGGAGCTCGTTCGCTCCCAGGCTCCACGTGCTGCCAGCTTGCAGCTGGGCTAATGTGAAGGAATGCATTCCCTAGCAATGCTTCTTTATAAGTTATTGTTACTGAGGGATTTGAGCATCGTTACAGCGAATGTGTGTACAAATATTGGAAGAACAATGTGTGGTAGAGAAAACAAAGCGAAAAACCACCCAGCTTCCTATTCCTCCTGGGTAAACCTGTGATTTCTCCCACCTTCTTGAGTTGCAGCCTAATACAATATTGTACAGCCTGCTGCCTCCCTAAATAACTCCTGCTGGAGTAGCAGACACTGAGTACCTCACTCAAATCCCATGAAGTCATTTAGCTTCCAGTTCCACATCCTGAGGAGTTAAATCTGTGGGAGAAGAGAATGACCTGGGTGTCCCTCTGGGTGCTCTCCTGGATCAGGATAACTCCTGGCCTGGGGCTGAAGCTGGATATTTTGCAGGGGTTTCCAATTTTACTGTCAGTCCTATTCTCCTGAGCTTCCATTCACCTCTTCCAGCTCCTCACACATCTATCAGGGCTCAAATAAATGTGACATATTGATGCTTCACCGGTTTGAAATGAACTGCAATTACCAAACAGAGGATTCATTTCATCTACCTCCAGTCATCTAGAAGTCAAGCATTTGGCTTAAACTAGTTGTCTGTAGCCAGGGGAGAGGGATGGACACTGCCAGAAGTCAAATGCCTTCCTACTTATTTTAAATACCTTTCTTAGGCTAGGAGGAATCACACGCTGAAAGCCCTTGCCTCCCCAGGACTGTAGAGGATTGTACAAAAACAAGTTTTAGACAATTAAGGTGTGACGACTTGAAACCCACCCTCAATATTTGTTTATAAAGCGGCTGTGAAACACGAGATCGGTGTGTTTAGGATTTCGATGGGGGAGCCAGAAGGGGCTGTGATGATCACCCATGGTGACTCTCAGAATAACAACCTGGCCTCCAGCCTTTAGGGTTTGCTAATCTGGAGTGTTTCAGCTTTTTTTAGTTGAAATCTAAAGAAGCATCTGTCAATTATAAAATGAACCCTATAAATTGCTGCCTTCATAAAAAACAAGGCTGCAGAAGAGAAGGAGGGAGAGACTGAAGATGTCCCAAGGGACAGAAGGCCAGCAGGGGAATTTTAATAATTTAACAGGGACTGGAGCGTGAGCCCATGAAGTTATTTCTGCACAGGACTTTGAACACACACCACGACATTATAACTTTCAGCCCCTTGCTCTCAGCTCAGAGCTGAACAAAAATGAATAATTTAGAGAGGAAAGTCTCTTGAACTCTTTGCCGTGGGTTATGAGGCTTTGCTGGATCAGAGGAGCCTGCACACGCCATCTCTGCAGGTGCTGGGAGACCGCGGGGACACTGTGCAGGGATGGTGCCAGCTGCACCGCGGTTTCTGTCCTTCTTCAGCTGCTCTGCTGCCAGCTTCAGATGCTTTAGGTGACTTTTGTTTCTGAGCTGCACTCCAGCTTTCAACCAGCGGAGTACCACGTGTGCAGCAGCGGGGCTGGCAGCACCAAGCCACATTTGGGTGGTTGCAGATGAAAGCCAAGGAGAACACACAAAACCTGAGACAGAGACAGCCTTCTTGCCATCGAAGCGATGCAGGCAGAGCAACCACTCGCTTCTTGCAGTGCTTAAGTCGTTCAATCAAGTTGAAGGAGTAAAATAATTCCTAAGGGACATGAGTCTATTGAATGCATCAAGTAGAGAATAATGCACTTTATTGAATGAGACGTCCATGGGCAGGACCTCTCTTGGCATAGCAGTGAAGCCCTTTTGTGCCATGGTGGGGCTGCCCAGACATACCTAAGCTGGGTTTTAACCACCTGGCTTAGGCACTGCTAACAGAGCTCAGCATGGGCTGCACGCAAGCCCTGCAGACAAATTTGCAGAAGTAGACCCTGGGGCTGTAGCATCAGCAGAGCGTTGGCTGGGCTCAGGCTGGCTCGGGTTGGTCGGGGCTGATGTGATGGCTTTGGCCGGACCCTACCCACAGACAGCATCTGTCTGTCCTGTTGGCTCTGGAGCCAATGCTGCGCCCATGTGAGAGCCAGCAGCTGTTACCAAGCCAGTCTGAAAGTTGCTAGTTCTGGCTACAGGCTCTGGTCCTGCTTTGTTGTCAGGATGGCACAGGACCAGACAGCTCGGAGTCTAGACTGCAAGGGTGTTAGCATCTTTGGCTGTGGGACCACAGAAATCTTGTTCCTTTAGGAAGAGCCTCAGGAATAGCTCTTTTCCCTCCCTGCCAGCTGGATCACATTCATGGCATCTTTAAGAAAGAAGAGCATTGCCTTCGCAGCTGAATATCTAATCCTATAGGCAACCTTTTCAGGCTTCTTCCGTATTTGCACCCCATGTTCCCAAATCCCTTAGATAGCCAGCTCTAACCTTGGTTGATAAAGCATCAGCAGCTGCACAGTAGGATATTCTGAAGTTATCTGTACAGAGGAATATGGCTGCGTGTCTTGCACAGATCCAGAAAACTCTGCTGAGATTTTCATCAACAGTAGATCATGAAAGGTTACTACACAAAAACAACAGGATAAATCAAGTAAAACTACGCTGACTTCTCCTGATCAGTTGTATCATACCAAGAGTGGGAGAACATGTCATTTTTTCACTACCATGTTAAATTGAAAGAGGGAAAGATGGGTAAAAATTTAAAATATCCCTTTTATATGTTTTAACCATAGATCTTTCCCCTTTCTTTCCTATATTTCCTAATGAAAAGAGGAAAAGTGATAAACTGGTTTTTATTCTTACTTTTTTCGTCCCATAAACTACAACAGCCAAATCAAAAGCCAAAATGTTGTTAAGACACTCCTTTCATCTCATTTTGTTGAAACATGTAAAACTAAAAGGCAGTGAAGGCCATCTATGAAATGTCTTTCTTTTCACCATTTCTGCCAAACACATCAGACAAAAAAAAAGTCTGATCAGCCCTAGAAAAAAAACTATGATTGAACAGGGCAGTTGCTTTGTCTTTTAGGCACAGACACAAAAATAGGGATAGGTTTATATATAAATATATATACAGTAACCAAAACCTCAAATTCAAATACACCTGAGCTTTGGGGAAGTTTGTATATTCATTCAGTCTTTGTGGCTTAGGCTCATCTGTAACAGAAATATTTGCAAATAGACAGAATACTTCCTCTTTAATCTTATCTAGTGATCTGTCTGTTTGTCTGGGTTTTTCCTAGAGATGGCCTCAGATCCTGATATCTGAGGGCTGCACGGCTAAATTAAGGTGAGATCATACCCAACTTCACAGAGGCCTTTCTTTCCTCTCGTTTGCCATGAGCATTTATTTCGTTTTCATTCATTGGGATGAAAGACAGAGCAGGCGCGTAGCCTGGCTCAGCCTCCACTGGCCCCGCGCTTGGCCCGCCTTTGGGAAAATATCTTATTTTGACTGATGGTTATTTGCTCTATGGGCAGACTGTGGCTGAGATGAACAAAATGGCTCTGCAAGAGCTGCGAGTCCTCTTTCCTGGGGCTCTTCCAGAATACCGAGTGTATCTCAACATTCAGCTCCCAGCTCTGGTCCAGGCAGCGCCCAAGGGCACCTCACCAGCTGCTCCTCTGGTCACACATCTTGCAGGGGGGAGTTTTCATGCCCAATTCCTGCTCTTTTCGCCCTCCACAAAGAGGATTGTTCGAGGTTTCACGCCTTCAATACCACCTTTAGGCAAGCCACCGCAGCTTGGCAATAGGGAACAGATGGTGAAATGTCGGGATCTACCCGTGTGTGCCTGGCTAATTGAAGTCAATTAGCTCAGCCCATTTATGCCCTTGAAGAACCCCAGGCACCACCGGCAAATAAAACAGACACATTGCAGCTAAGTGCTATGCTGCCTTCAGTTCACACTCTCTCAGAGGACAAGAGGTTGATGAGGCTGTTTGGTAGCTGTTCAGACCAAGTTCCACTCAGATTACTGCCCACATTGTATTTTGAACAATCTACCATGGCCCCTACCTGCATCGGTAATTACAATTACCCCTGAGATTTAGTGCACCAGGACGGGCTCCAACTTAAACAGAGCTGTGGATGGAGAGAAATACGAAAGTTTTTCAGAGTTTTATTGTGCTCTTTCCTGTCTGTGTCCCCCCACATTGCTCAGAGGGGTTTTGTCACCTCCTTGAGCATTTTATCGTGGGGAACTTCTCACCACTTCAGATTCTCCGCATTCTCTGTGCGAGACCTCACCGATTCCTACCAATGCTCGTGTGGTTAATGGGTGAGAGGAGGGGAGCGAGCACATCTGAAAGGAATGCAAGAAATATAAACAATTTTATTAACAAGACCACAAAACTATTTTTTAATATATGCAGCCATTTACAAGGAGGAAATAAACAAACAGAAAAACCCACTGGGGAGACGCGGTCGGTGTCGGAGAACACAGCGAACTGGCAGGGTTGGGTAGGGACCCTTTCTTCCACCCTGCCTCCACCATGGGCTGTCCCCAGCCAACACCAGCCCCTACGAGCAGGGCGAGCCGGCGCAGAGCCCAGCACTAAGGAGGTGGGGTGCCACGCGCATCCTGCTGCGGTGCCAGCGACGACACGAGCTGCGTCAGGGCTCGGGCGATGACGGAGAGATGGCTGTTCATCGTCCGCAGCTCCGCCAGGATGTCACCCACGTTCGCTGATGCCTGCTCAGAGCTTGGGGGCATGGTCTGAGCAGCTGGGGTTGAGGCAGCAGCCCCCGGAGCCCCATCTCCCATAAGTGCCTCCTGGGGATTTCCATCATGGGAGGGGTGTGGGGGTGTGCTGTTGCAGCGCTTCATGCCTTCCACGGAGCTTGGTCTTACAGGTGGCTGGTCTTCCTCCTTGCCTCGAATGGTGGCCAGCGTTGCGGAAGCGAGGAAGGGCAGCCAGTTGATGAGGTGGGTGGTACTGCCGGGGGGGACTATGGGCAAATAAAGTCCAGGGTGTAGGGGTGGAGTAGAGGTGGGTGGTGCAGGAAGAGAAGGGAGTCCAAGGTGGACTTGGACATCAGCAGCAGAAGCTGGAATAAGAGGTGGTTTGGGATGTAAGGCTGCGACACAGGCAGGTAACGGTGGTGAAAATGATGCAGTACCAGTGTCAGAAGAAGCGGAGGGTGATGCTGGAGCTGTGAAAGGTCCAGGTTCTTCAGAAGTTGGCGGTGAAGTGGCAGCAGGTGGAGCATCAGGCGTGCAAGTGTCTGAGTCTGCAAAGAAGACACATCATGAGCCTCGATTCACACATGTACTTACAGACATGGACTGGTGCTTGCTGTCACTTCAGTGGGACTAGGCCTTTTTGAGTCAAGGGGGAATTTCATCAGCTGGCAGCGATACTCTCTGTAGGCCAATTAGAAAAGATGTACTCAAACACAAAAGACTACTGTGGGTAAATATGCAACTCAACATTATAAATCTAAAGTATCCTTCCACTCTCATTCTTCATAAAGCCTGCGGACAGGCCTCAACATTCTTCTAGTTGATGTCTCATAGGTATGCATTAGCTGGTGAATTACCTACTGTGTTTTCCTGGCCAGTCATGGAATGATGGTAATGTCCTAACTGACTCAGATCTCCTGGGGAGATGTGGGCTGGATGGCTGCTGCTGGAGCCAAAGTTAATTACTGCTTCATAGAGGGTCCCAGTTTTCAGCATTTTGGTTTGAATGGACAGGTCAACACCAGAAATGGTAAGAGCTAATTGATGGCTTAAACTCTTCAATAATTTTATTTTTTGTGTTCACACAATTAAACTTAGACATAGAGCCCTGGCTGTAGATATTTAGCAGCTTCAGCTCTGAAAGTCAATAAAGAAGAGACCGAGAAAGAAATTGTTGACACTGTGCATCCCAGCTCAACACAGATGCCACTTTGCAAGCAGTTCAGTGGACCTCATCCAATGTCCACTGAAGTCATTAGAAACATGCTTGATTGGACTAAATTCAATATATACAGTGTAGGACGACAGAGCAGCCTCTGGGGAATATGTAAAGACTTGGAGAGCCACACTATGGTCCAAGGTGCTCTGCCCACTGTGCTCAGTTGGTAAATACTGTATGGTAAGGATGATCCTATTTTTACAATAATCCTGAAAGCCAGAAATGTAATAGGAAATGTCAGCCTTTCAACAGCCTCAAAGATCTGCATAAGTGGAATTACTATACCATGTCGCTGATCTTTATTTTAGCATTGGGAACACATTATACAGAAGGTGGTGAGATGCTACAGGAGTGGTCAGCATAAGACAGATGGATTTTAAAACTACTTCTGCCGCAATTAAGTGCAAATTTTAAGGCACTGCTGTGGATACAAAGATACAAATTAACAGATTTATCTAGGTTAAGACAACCTAGAGAAAGCCAAGCACTGAGGTGTTAACACCATGCTATTATTATTTCTGGCATCTAAAAAATCTGATGTGAGAAATCCATTTTCATTAATGGCTGGTCTGGTATTCCAGATAGCAAACTGAAACTGTGAGTCAAAAGCAAATGAAGGTTTTTCCCTGTCATTTCTAACACCAAACCAACTGGACATGCAGCCTACAAAAGTCCTTCTTTGTTTCACATGGGACCACCATGTTTTCCCTAACCAAACACACATGTTGGTTGGAGGGGATTATGACACAAAATTCAGCATGCCCTTATGTCCCTGAGATTTTTATGGAAAGTTACTGCAAGTTCCTTGAAACAGTTTCCTTCCTTTGTACATTGGCTTTCTTCCCAGCACAAAGTCCCTGCCTACACAGGCGCTCGGTCCCTGTTCGCTAGAGGTGGGCTGAGGATGCTGGATGTTGGGTTTCCAAAGTGTTATTGATTGGGTTTTGGTTTTGCAAAACAAAAACAAAAATAAAGCACAGTTCAAGCCCAGGTTCCATTTCCATCCAAACCACCAAAGTTTGCAAAGGGTGAGATGAAAGGTTCAGGTTTGGCTCAACCGTAGTGTTAACCAGAACAGTGTTTATGGTCCATATATAGCATGACTAATCCCTGTCCACACTGGCCAAACAATCCAAATTAAGTGTAATTTTTTTCCATACATTGGAGAGCAGAGGAAGCTCAGCAAACCTTGAGGTAATCTGGTGTAGCACTGTGACAAATAACTGTCACAAATTATTCTCAAATGTTTAAAGAATAATTGGGGATAAAATACAAGGAGTGGTAACCAGTACAGACAAAAATAGAGACAAAAATCTGGTCATCAAAGACTCTTCTTTTAGCTGCAATCTTTCCAAACAGCCTGGCTTTCCTATCGGAAGCCACAGCTTTGTTATCCCCCTAATCCCCATTTAAGATTTATTCATGCCATGCAGCCTTTTAAACACATCTCGCTCAACTTGATCAGGCTCCCATACTTCCATCTAAGAAATTCCACATGGGCGTCTTGAGCACCCGTGCAGGGAGCCTGGCGTATCCAGGACATGTGGAAGCTGTTGCGCTGCTCAGATCAACGGCTGGGTATGTGCAGAGCTGATATAGCACAGTCCGCACACCCAGAGCGACTGCTTGTTTGGACAGAATCTGACCCAACTGCTCAATAGCCAAGACCCAAACTGATGAAGAAAATTGCAGAATCACAGAATCATTGAGGATGGACAGGACCTCTGGAGACCGTCTAATCCAAACCCCTGCTCAAAGCAGGGTCAGCTAGGGTAAATAATTTTTTCTCCATGAACAAAATTGCTAGGGCATGTTTGAGAAAGCCCGGGAATTTGGAAGTCCTAAACACAATGAGGCATGGAGCAAGCTACTACAGTTGCTTTATGCAACAGGATGATTCTATTAATTTCTTTCCTCTCTAACTTTCTTTTATCTGAATGTTACAACTCATCAGAACTCTAGCACTTGCCTTTTTCACTTTTTTGTACAGCCCCAGAAGAAAGAGAGTCTTCTTAATTGGAGCATCCAGATGCACACTTATTCTGGGGGGTGTTAGATCTGCATCTAGACAGAGCTGTAGCTAAGTGGGGTTGGGTGGATGCCTGCGGAGAACGGGGATGTTGAAGACAAAGTGCTCAGACAAGTACAGTGACCTTCCCTAAACATATCAACCCACATGTATATGGTCATTCACCATCCACCAGCACACCCGGTCTACAGAAGATGAGTAGGTACTATAGCATGCTCCCACATGCAAAGACTGTTCAAGGGAGGCTTGCAGCTTAGAAGAAAAGTTATTTCACCACTTAGGGAAATTAATCCCGGACTCAGAAAACCTGGATTGGGATCCACTTCATCCAAACAACTGAACTGTAAGTGTCTAGAGAAGAAATTCCCTGAAAGCACATGCATTTTGTGTGTGAATATAGAGGGAAAGCCCCCAAAGGGAATTCTTAGACACATAGGCTGTATCTCTCCGAACAGACTCAGAGTCACTTACTTCTTTCTACTTGAGTGCATAGGGAGCTTGGCTTCATCCTTCAGGAGGACTGGTTTACTGAGATAGGATTCAGGTCACCTTTAGCTTTATCAGTCTGTAGTACAGATGTCTACATCTTCTCTAATTCCCTAGCCTTTCTTCACAGTCAGACAATTAACCAGGTCTAGCATCACTTCTTTATTGCTACAATGAGAAATATTTGTCCTCATCTCTTGGCTGGGAATAGTGTAGGATAACTAACTTGGATGTGGATGCCATGCACGGAAAATGCCTATGTTTCAAAAGAGAACTCCTCTACCAGGTGCACAAAAATAAGGATGGGTGCCCAGCTTAGAAACAGCGGATGCCTGACATTCACTGCCCTCCTGATCTACTACCAAAGAGTTTCCCAAAGAGAGAGCAGTTGCACATCTTTGTGTTACCTGTTTGCAAGTAATAGGGAATACTTCTGCATTGCTGCCTCTGAGAGGACCTTGGGGTGTTAAAAACTCCCAGGACTGTAAATAGGCTAGGTGATACTGTAATGAGAGAGAGCAGAGGAGCACCTCCAGGAGAGGATTTCCTGGTACTGGTCCTGCCCATGATGATGGATGTTACTGAGTGATTAATGGGCTGCCCTGTGAGAATGAGGAAACTGAAGTTATTTTAAATGCATTCATCTGTATGAGAAGAGCATGCATGTAACTTTTCAGGCAGTCTTGGCTATCTTAGCTGCTTTTGTTTGACTACTGATTTTATCTGCCTTGCAGTCAAATTGCTGCAAACTGTGATTTCTTAGTCTTTTGTCAGCTAACAAGAGAAAGGTCTGTGAAGGAGAAACCTTGAGGGAAAAGCAGGGGCATGACTTTCCACTGACTAGCACACTGCATGGGATTCAGCTCATCTAACATTAGCTGTTTAGCTGGCATCTAGTGCAGGACAGTCCTCCCAGCTCCAGCAGAGAAAGAAGAGCCTCTGGGGACAAGCCATCCCAAGCTATGGGGTCCCCAGGAAGGGTGGGAGGATGATGCTCTGGAGTGTCCCTCCCCTTCCAGCACTTCTTGCAGCTGGGCTGTCTAACTTCTAAATGGCTGACGTTGGATGAGCTGGATTCCTCACTTTATACACAGATGTAGCAAGTCATTTCCTATCAAATCAGAACGGCAGATGGGTAGAGCTGCCTCTGTGTTCCTGTGCAATGGGTAAAACCACGGGGACAAGGTTAAGGTGGAAGAAAGCAGAAGCTTAGGCCATCGGAGTGCTTCAAGAAATGAGCTGGTGGTTCAGGAGGTGATAATCTTTCAAGTGAGTCAGCATTCAGCAAACAATGTATTTTCAATGACAAGGACATTAAGGTGCTGAAATGAGTAAAGCAGTCCCTTTGATGACACAGTAACCTGCAAGAGGCCTTGGTGCCCTGTCCTTTCTGCGGGGGTTTATGAAGTCGCTCTGAAACTAGCAGTATCTGTGTGTGTGCCTGGGAGACCCGGTGCGTGCGTGCACTCCCAGCTCGTTTTGCAGCTGCTTCCCAAGAAAGTCTAAATATACGCCTGCCTCCTCTTTCTGGTAAGAAGTGAAACTGAAGTCCTAGCAGCTTGTGGTAAATGAAAGTCGAATAGCAATGTTTGTGTAAGCAGGGGCGGTGCTGCTTTTGCACTGATAAAATCCATCTTTGGGACCTGAATCTGAAGCCATCCCTCCTGTGCTGCTCAGGTTTGATTCAGATGCAGAGTGGCATTGCTTCCCACTGCTGCTCTGCAGTCAAGATTAGAAGGGCTTCAAGCTGTAAATCAAGTTTAGAAGAGATTAAATTACAGCATTGGGCAAAGAGACTAGCGGACACTGCACTA